GTTGGCGCGCACGTCCGGCAGAGCAGGGCTCGTTATTATTCGAATCAACCAGCGTGGCACGATAGCGGAGCATCGAGAGGGACCACACATGATCGCATGCGACAGAACATCGCGCTCGGGTGAGCCGCAACGGGGTCAGGTGAGTGGGAGTGGGAGAGGGCGAGGAGGAGGAGGAGGAGGAGAAGCAGGAGGAGGAGGAGGAAGAGGAGGAGGAGGAGGAGGAGGAAGAGGAGGAGGAGGAGGAGGGGTCATGCGAAGAGGAGGACGAGGAGGAGGAGGACGAGGAGGAGGAGTACGAGGAGGAGGAGAAGGAGGAGGAGGAAGAGGAGGGGGGGGACGGAGGAGGAGGAGTCATGCGGGGAGGACGGGGGGGCGGTGCCAGAAGAAGAGTGGGGGGAAGGACGAGGTGGCAAGTCTCGCTTCCGCTCCGGATCTCGACCCCGGGAGTTCCGAGCAGGCCTTCGGAGGTCCCGCAGGCCTTCCGGGGGGGGGGGGGAACACACAGAAAGCTCCCTCTTCGATCCTCGACGGGCGGACGCACAACCAGCAAGGGGAACCCCAGCGCTCCCCCCGTTGGGCCGCCGAGTGGGCGAATGACGGGCCTCAAATCGCCGATGCCGGATGGGCTCTCGCCTACCCGGCGGCCGAGAGGGCTCGATCCTGGGCCCATCCGGCGGCCTCGCGGGCTCGGGCCTCGAAGTGTGGGGCGTTCCAGGAATGGCTTCGCCTTCGAGGATCGGAAGAGGTGCCATTCCCCGGCGGAGAAGGCGGCGGAAGTAGAACGAGGGCGCCTCCGCCGGCGGAAGGCCGGCGGAAGGCGGCGGGAGTAAAAGGCGCGCCCCCCCCAGGGATGGCAGCACTCTTGAGCTCAGGGTTGCCGGAAGCGGCTGCTTTTTGTCCATCCGCGGCCCAGTCCCGACCTGTTCTCTCGGGAGAGTCGTTCGTCCTGCTGTGTCCATGTCTGATGGCCCCGGGGCCCGATGGCTCGCCTCGGAGGCCGAGTTTCAGGATTTGTCTGGTCGTCGGCGGCGAGGCAAAGGCGGTCCGACCATCATCATCGTCATCATCTTCATCATCATGCTGAGATCTCCGGGAAGACGTTTATTATAAAGCCTGGACCCCGAGCTTTATTATCCCCATGAGCTTATCATCGGGAGCAGTTGGTTACTCGGAGCAATCGCAAGGCGAATCGTCCGGCGTGCAAGAGGGAGGAAGAAGACGAGGGCGGCCGCGCAGAGGAGGGCCAAAAACACGGTGGAACACGCCCGCATTGAAGCAGGCATATCTGGGCTCTGGGAGGCAGTTGTTCCATAGACTCTGGCAAGTGTGACCTTGCACGGAGGGAGGAGGCTGGGCCCCAGGAGGCAGTTTTCCTGTAGGTTCTGGCAGGTGTAACCTTGCATGGGGGGGAGGGAGGGGGCGTGGCCAGGCCGGAAGGGAATCTGACTTCACGCATGCCAGGACTCACTCGCTTGCCCTGAAAAGGCGGCGGAGAGAGGGTTGGGGCGGGGGGGAGGGGGAGAGCTCCAGACTGGATGGGGATGGGGCGGTCTCGGCCCTCAAAGGGCTGGAAAAGGAACCGCTCTTGTTGCTCCACTCCTTTTCTCCACTCCTCTTCCTCCTCCTCCTCTCCCTCCTCGGGGGAAGCACATCTCCTCCTGCTCCACCTCCCTTGTTCTCTGCCTGCCCTCGGGCCACTGGCAAGGGGGGCGGCGGGGGAAGCGGCATGCAGGTAGACCTGCCCGAGCCCGAAGGCAAACGCTCGCAGCATCGTCGGAGGTCTGGGCCTTGGAGGGCGGAGGAGGAGGAGGAGGAGGAGGAGGAGGAGGAGACGGAATAGGAGGAGGAGGAGGAGGAGGAGGAGGAGGACAAATGCCTTCTAGAGCGTTCTGGAACGCCCTCGGAGCGTTCCAGAACGCTCTGAGAAGGCCGCGGCGCCCGACATCCTCCAGAGCCGCTGGACCTCGGAGATGCCCGATACATCCTCACACGATGTTCTCCACGTCCTGGCGTCTTCTGAGGAGGGAAAGCTCAAGACTCGAGTACGCTGGAATTTGGGTTCGCCTACGCTGTTTGAAGAGCCCGCCCTGGATTTTGACGGTCCAGTTTTCGTGGGATGTCTGCAGCGGGAGCACGTGTCAAGTTCCAGAGTGGGTTTCGTAATTTTCCTGACGGGGCCGTCAGGCCAACCCGAGTCCCCCGAACCCGAGTCTTAGGTCTCCCCGCTTCCTCCCAGACCCCCGACGTCGTGTTCTTTCCGCAACGTCGACCTCAAGAGGTCTGGACCCTTTCCCCGGGACCAGCTTTGCGTCCCCCGTGGTCTTTTGACGGCCCCGAGGCCCAGGAAGGGCCCCCAGAGGCCGACAGTGGCGACAAGCATCACGTCGCGGCTTTTGTCGCAGCGCGAGGGGGTCTGGGTCAGGATTAAGTCGGGCTTGTCCTTCTACAGGAGGAATATTCAAACATAGTCGAACCATAGCCTGGGGTGTGGGTACGCCATGCGGACGCTGCCGCTGGGGCCTTCGGTGGAGCTCCCCATGGGAGCCACGAATCGTGCGGGGGGGGTCGGATTGGGTGCGGGTGCGCCATGCGGACGTTGCCGCTGGGGCCTTCGGTGGAGCTCCCTATGGGGCCACGAGACGTGTGAGGGGTGCCGAAACAGAGACATGCGGAGGGCAGACACGGGGACAGGAGGAGAGAGGAAACGAGGATGGGGGAGGAAGAGGTGGGAGACGCGGGGCGCTTTATCTTCAAAACGATGGACCAAGAACACAGGCTGGTTGGGAACGACCAGGCCTGTCCAAACGGCCAGGCTAGTTCAAGCTGCCAAGCGATTCACTGCGGACAGGCGAGTCAAAACGGCTGCCGGGTTCACACGGCCAGGCGCGTTGAAACGGCTAGGCGTGGGGCACGCTGCAGCGCGCACGCGCCTGCTGTGCGCAGATCGGGGGGTTTTTCGAAGGCAGCCGCGGTCAATCCGCAGGACTCGAAGAGGAAAGCACGCCATAGACACAACACGGGCCTGTCCCTCTACATGAGGAACATTCAAACATGATCAAACAACAAAAAAACGAATAGGGGGACGATGTTTGTTGTTATTTCGGACTGTTTGGGAACATGTGTTGGGGTATTTTTCATTTTTCGCCCAAAATCTCCCTGTAGGGGGACACGCCCGAGTGAACCATAGACATCAACTGTTGTCACTCCGCGCGGATTTCTTGGATCCGCGCTGGGACCCCGGCGGCGCCTCCGGCGCCGACCCCTGCGCGCTCCGCGCAGTGCAGATCCACGACATCCGCGCGGAGCGGTTAAAGTTTCTGTTCATGGCGTTGTTTCTTTGTTTATTCTCGAAAGCAATCACAGTCAAGCCGCAGGACGTAGCCGCTGGGGCCTTCGGTGGAGCTCCCCATGGGTCCACGAAGCGTATGAAGGGCGCGCCGAACTGGGTGTGGGTACGCCATGCGGACGCTGCCGCTGGGGCCTTCGGTGGAGCTCCCCATGGGAGCCACGAATCGTGCGGGGGGGGGCGGATTGGGTGCGGGTGCGCCATGCGGACGTTGCCGCTGGGGCCTTCGGTGGAGCTCCCTATGGGGCCACGAGACGTGTGAGGGGTGCCGAAACAGAGACATGCGGAGGGCAGACACGGGGACAGGAGGAGAGAGGAAACGAGGATGGGGGAGGAAGAGGTGGGAGACGCGGGGCGCTTTATCTTCAAAACGATGGACCAAGAACACAGGCTGGTTGGGAACGACCAGGCCTGTCCAAACGGCCAGGCTAGTTCAAGCTGCCAAGCGATTCACTGCGGACAGGCGAGTCAAAACGGCTGCCGGGTTCACACGGCCAGGCGCGTTGAAACGGCTAGGCGTGGGGCACGCTGCAGCGCGCGCGCGCCTGCTGTGCGCAGATCGGGGGGCTTTTCGAAGGCAGCCGCGGTCAATCCGCAGGACTCGAAGAGGAAAGCACGCCATAGACACAACACGGGCCTGTCCCTCTACATGAGGAACATTCAAACATGATCAAACAACAAAAAAACGAATAGGGGGACGATGTTTGTTGTTATTTCGGACTGTTTGGGAACATGTGTTGGGGTATTTTTCATTTTTCGCCCAAAATCTCCCTGTAGGGGGACACGCCCGAGTGAACCATAGACATCAACTGTTGTCACTCCGCGCGGATTTCTTGGATCCGCGCTGGGACCCCGGCGGCGCCTCCGGCGCCGACCCCTGCGCGCTCCGCGCGTGCAGATCCACGACATCCGCGCGGAGCGGTTAAAGTTTCTGTTCATGGCGTTGTTTCTTTGTTTATTCTCGAAAGCAATCACAGTCAAGCCGCAGGACGTAGCCGCTGGGGCCTTCGGTGGAGCTCCCCATGGGTCCACGAAGCGTATGAAGGGCGCGCCGAACTGGGTGTGGGTACGCCATGCGGACGCTGCCGCTGGGGCCTTCGGTGGAGCTCCCCATGGGAGCCACGAATCGTGCGGGGGGGGGCGGATTGGGTGCGGGTGCGCCATGCGGACGTTGCCGCTGGGGCCTTCGGTGGAGCTCCCTATGGGGCCACGAGACGTGTGAGGGGTGCCGAAACAGAGACATGCGGAGGGCAGACACGGGGACAGGAGGAGAGAGGAAACGAGGATGGGGGAGGAAGAGGTGGGAGACGCGGGGCGCTTTATCTTCAAAACGATGGACCAAGAACACAGGCTGGTTGGGAACGACCAGGCCTGTCCAAACGGCCAGGCTAGTTCAAGCTGCCAAGCGATTCACTGCGGACAGGCGAGTCAAAACGGCTGCCGGGTTCACACGGCCAGGCGCGTTGAAACGGCTAGGCGTGGGGCACGCTGCAGCGCGCGCGCGCGCCTGCTGTGCGCAGATCGGGGGGCTTTTCGAAGGCAGCCGCGGTCAATCCGTGAAGAGGAAAGCACGCCATAGACACAACACGGGCCTGTCCCTCTACAGGAGGAATATTCAAAAATAATCAAACAAAAAAGAACGAATAGGAGAACG